AAAAAAAAAAAAAAAAACCCAGCTGGGCATGGAGTTGTGCACCTGTCTTCCCAGCTACTTGGGAGGCTGAGACAAGAGGATCTCTTGAGCCTCGGAGTTTGAGGTTGCTGTGAGCTGTGATCATGCTACCACACTGTAGACTGGGCCACAGAGCAAGAACTTGTCTCAAAAAAAGAAAAACCATAAATAAATAAATTGAGAGCTAAATATTTATCAAAGTAACCATATAAGAATAGACTCAGTTGTTTTCCCCTTTCTTAACCTCCCTATTGCTCACTGAGGATTTATTGTTTTTATAACTAAAAAATTTTCCACTGGGGAGGCTGAGGCAAGAGAATCGCTTAAGCCCAAGAATTGGAGGTTGCTGTGAGCTGTGACGCCACAGCGCTCTACCAAGGGTGACAAAGTGAGACTCTATCTCAAAAAAAAAAAGCAAAAACTAATAAAAATAACAAAAAGGCAGAAAAGGTAACACCAGAGTTGTAACATGGCTATAGTGCTGGGCTTCCCTGTATGCTGCCAAAGGGAGTATAAACTGGCAGGGTCTTCTCAAAGGGTAGAGAGGGTAACCTGTATTTATCACCTGGCCTTCAAACTGTGTACTTCTAAGAATTGTTCTTGGGAAATAATCACATAATCAGATGTGCACAAAGATGTTTGAGCAAGGATATTTATTGAAATATTATTTGGTAATTAAATTAATTTGGTAATAAAAATAGAATAAAAATTGGTAATAAAAATAAAAAAAAAATTACCAAATAAAATAAATTTGGTAATTAAAAAGAGTCCAAATGCCCCAAATAGAGATTTATCTGAATAAACTTAGGTGAGCATGTCCTGCGGTGTGCTGCAGTCATCAATAGGATATCGTCATGTTATTATTCCTCAACTGAAACTGTCTCTGTTAAACACTAACTTTCCAGTGGCACCCAAGACTCAGTGGGTAGGGTGCTGGCCATGTACACCAGGACTGGTGGGTTTGAACCCAGCCAGACCAACTAAAAAATCAACAATGACAACTACAACAACAACAACAAAAATAGCTGGGTGTTGTGGTGGGCACTTGTAGTCCCAGCTACTTAGGAGGCTGAGGCAAGAGAATCGCTAACACCCAAGAGTTTGAGGTTGCTGTGAACTCAGACGCCATGGCACTCTACCCAGGGCGACACAGTGAGACTCTGTCTCAAAAAAACAAAAAAACCCACTAACTTCCCTCTCTCCAGCCCCTATAGAGCCACCATTCTACTTTGTCTCCATAAATTTGGCTGTTCTGAGTGTCTCATGTATGTGGCAGTATCTCTCCTTTAGTGTCTGGCTTATTATACTTAATATAATATCCTCAGGTCCACCCATGTTGTAGCATGTGCAAGAATTTCCCACACCACATTTTCTTTATCCATTCACCAGTCAGTGGGCGTTCCTGTTGTTTCCACCTTTTGATTTTTGTGAATAACACTATTCGAACATGGGTGTACGAATAATACC